TTGTTGCTGCTTCCAGCATGCAGGACATTTGGAAGGCTTTTACACTTGCTTGTATTTGCAGGAATGCAAATGCATCATGGGAAATAGAATGATATGCTGAAGACAGCAGGAAATGAACCATCTACAGAATCCTGGTCTCTCTTGCCTGCTTAAAAATCGGGATCCTGACTTCATGGACCATAACTGAGTGACAAGACCAGCCCTCTACCAGAATGACTGTTTCCTCTTTCATAGTTAGTGGCAGTATCAAGAACATGCTGCCACAGAAGGTGGAGGTGCTCTCTTCCAAAGAGAGTGAATAGACTGGGGGTGGGTGCTGGAACAGCAGAATTCACTCTGACTCTTAGTCACTCTAGAAGTTGGGGACAGAAACAGCATTTTGTTGCTTTGTTTCTTTCTCTTGTTCCCCATACAGTATGCCAACAGCTAATTCCAGTATTGTTGTCTCAGGGGTAAACAATATTTATCAGCAGTTTTGAGCAAACAATTTTCTATTTCTATCTTGAAAAAAATGGGCAAAAATTGCCGTATTCTCAGGTTATGGCATAGGAGTGTCATTAGGGGTACAAGGTTCAAACCCTGATGAATATTACATGCTAAGACTGGTAGGCCGACTTACTGGCTGTATCCCCATGGGATTCAGTGGCCACTGAAGTATTCTTGAACATTATGTTCTGTGTCCTGGCATTGAATCCAGCATGACATCCGTCACTCTTATTTCAGTGCAAGGGTCAAAAGGACTTAAAAAAAAATTCAGAAGCCTGTGGCCTATCACAAGGCAAAAGTTATCCTAATCCTTTTTTTAAATTAGAAAATACCAGTGTTATATCTGCAGTCAATTTATTTTCAAAATGAGAAATTAATAATCAATGTGAAATCCTGGGTATTTAATGGTAGCTGGTTTTAAGACAAGGTACTATCAAAAGAATAGAAAGTGAAGAGAGTTTGTATATTTTGAATTTTTCTCCCAAATTTTTTTTTCCTGGAAGAAAGAACTTCCTTGAGGCCAAATTTTCTGATTTAATAAAAGCACAAATGATAAAAAGTACATTTTAAAGTATTTAAGAGCCTGTCAAAATGTAAACATGCTTTTATTCTTAAAAGAGTGGTTCTTATAAATGACAAATACATGATTCCTGTATATTGTGTCCTATTCTAAATCCATGATGAGGCTTCACCCTGTAATCGAAGCAGTGGGCTTTTAAAGAGTAAAGGTATTTAACAGGGTTACTCTGTTCTGGTTCATACGTTCTAGAGGAGGGGAAAGCTGGTGCACGCAATGATTATGTTGTTTTACACATTAAAATTCCTAAGCAATTTCACCTGTAGCTGGCAATGACAAATGCTTGGTCAGTAAGTGCCAGAGCTGTTCTAGCCAAAAATGTCCCAATTTCCCAATTAATGTATTAGAGAAAGAAATTTCTCGAAAAGTCCTTGCTGATTGGAAGCGGTGGAAAAGCCAACAGTGAACAAGAAGTGTAATAAGCATTAAAATGAGAGGGGAGGGAAGAAAAGTAAGTGACAGCAAGAACGAGAGTGAGAGCGAGAGCAAGAACAAGAGCAAGTGAGCAAGGAAGAGAGAGAGAGAGAGAGAGAGAGAGAGAGAGAGAGAGACTACACAATGTAAATGTTTGTATATTTTGTATCAGAAATTATTGCCTGAAATATAAATGTGGTCTGCATCTGAGTTCTAGTGGAGTATTTTAAATTATGATTTAAAATATTTTATGGTGTAAGAGTATGTATTTATTTAAATATGTTAAACTTATTGTATTCAGATGTCAGTATGTTTGGCAATAAACGTATTTCTACTTATCTTTGTGTACCTGAGCCTTCATAACATTTCTAATGAATCCAGATAAAAATCTGTATGCCATAAAAATTACATTTTAATTAATTAATTGTGTGCATGCACGTGTGCTTGCATGCATCTGAACTGTCACTGTGAATGTGTGGAAATCAAAGGACAGCTTTGAGGAGTCAGCTCTCTCTTTACATATCATGGTCTTGCGTGGCAAGTGCCTTGACCCACTGAGTTATCTTACAGGCACAAAATCCCCTCTTCTAAAATGGAACACCAGGCAACCGTATACCTGACTGCAACATTTCTATTGCTGTCGAGTGATACCCAGTCAATTAGCCGTTTCTTCACAACCTTTTCTCTCCGCTCCATGGCAATACTAATCTACAATTTGTATATGGATTTGCCTCTTATGCACATTTTATAGACATAAAAGTACCACATGACCTTCTGCCTGGCTCTTTTTACTCAGCACACTGTCTTCTAGGGTTCTCCATGGTGTAGCTTGTATCAGCACTTCATTCCACTTACAGAGGAATTATGTTCTTTGTACGGATTGACCAGATTTTGTGTCTGGACTACTCAGGCCATTGTCTGTGAGGCTCTTTCTGAATTTTGCCTACTGTGAATAATGCTGCTGTGCAGCCCTGAGGGCGTGGTTGAGGTGCAACCTCTTCTCCATTGTTGTTAGCATATGTCTGGAGGCAGGTAACTTAGGAACCCTGCTCTGATTTTGGAGGATCCTTCCAGCTCTCTTCCAAAGAGGCTGCTCTATTTTACAGTCGCACCTGTAATGAGAAGGGATCCAGCTTCTCTACATTCTAGCTAATACTGCGGTCCCTTTTGGGGACATCAATATTCTAGTGTGTGTGAAGTTATATACATATAGGCTCTTGTGCCTGTTCCAAAAGATAACCAAACATTAACCATCTAAAAGACTTACCAAGACCAAGGAAATGAAGCCTTATCTGCATGATAGTCTCAATTGCTATAATTCAAAAAAGTTCACGTTCATTTAATTCATTGAGTTCACTGAAGTTTGAATTATTTCCTTAGTTAGGGTTTCATTGCTGTGAAGAGACACCATGACCAAGGCAACTTTTATAAAGAACAACATTTAATTGGGTCCGGCTTACAATTTCAGAGATTCAGTCCATTTTCATCACGGAAGAAGCAGTGCAGCGTTCAAACAGACATGGTGCTAGACTAGGAACTGAGAGTTCTACATCTTGATGTGAAGGCATCTAGAAAGAAGGATCTCTTCCACACATGTATGGAGCTTGAGCAAAGGACCTCAAAACCCACCCGCACAGGGACACACTTCCTCCAACAGGGCCACACCTATTCCAGCAAGACCACATCTCTCAACAGTGATACTTCTCATGGTCCAAGCATATCCAAACCACCAAATCCCCCAAGACTAGATTCATAATGAGGTTCTTCTCTACCAATATACTCATTCTTGCTGTTATTGCAGAGCTGATATGGACAGACCTCTTCTAGTTTATTAGTCAGTCTGAGCTGTGGTATATATTTTACATTGGTCTAGGATGCTGATAAACCTGATTCTCAAGCTGTGGACCCTGGGCTGAGTTGCATCACTATGTCTCTTGGTCCTTCACTTGCATACATACTTCCTCTTTCTCAGAAAGCCCAGTCATTGTTTTAACCTCCTAAGCTATTGATGGAGCTGTTACATCTATGAACTTAACATTACAAATACCGTGGCGTGTATGTGCCAACATACACACAAACACACACACACTCCTACAGTATACACACAAATATAAATATAAAATAGTAATAACAGTAACAACACTAGAAGTTAGCAGGTCCTATTAATTTCCTTTTAAAGTCTAAACCTCTACAGAGGTAGGTATGGTTATCTGAATGAGTTCAAGCCAGAAAGATTAGTAAACATTCCAACGGGCAACATACTTAGACTCCATAGATTGTAAAAAAGCAAGCAAGCATATGAAGTTGGAGAATATCTTGGTCAGTTTCCAAGAGATGACAGACGGTAGGAGATGGGGGTGAATTAAGCACCAAAGAGCTATGAAATAACTTAAGAACAAATACATTTTTAAAAATGAGACTAGTAATAGTTCCACCTCTGTAGTGTTTTAGACATTAAAAGGTAATTAATATGCACTGCAACGTTCTAGTATTGTTATTGATACTACTATTTTATATTATTATTTATATGAGTGTGTTGGCATATACATGCCAATGTTTTTGTCATTATTATTAACTTTCTTACAATGCAAATACTATTATGCCAGTGACTTGCTTCAGATTGTCTTTAATTGGCTGAATTCAAACTTTATATGCGGTCTCATCTCCTTCACACTTTTCACTCAGGATATTTCTAGGTCCCCCAACCTCTCTAGGGCAAAAGTTAGAGCCCAAAGATTTTATTTAGCATTTTACTTTCAGAAGAGCCATTAACAAGGACTTCCACTAGGGGGTGAACAAGGAAAGAGAGAGGAGAGGAACTGAGCTGAGTCAAGTCTTCCAGAAAAAGTTCAACATCTCTGAAATAAGTTTTTATCTATGGTATGACCACTGCCTCCTACCCCATGGTCAGGTGTTTATAAAAACAAAACAAGAAACACAACGGGAAGCAAGAAGGGAAGAGAGGGGAATGGAGGGGAGGGGAGTACAGGGAGAGGAAAGGAAGAGAAGGGAAAGGATGAGAGGGGAGAGAAGGGGAGAGGAAGGTAGGGGAAGGGAATGAAGATGAGGAGAGGGAAGGGAGAGGAGGGGGAAGAGAAAGGAAGAGAAGAGAAGGGAGAGGAGAGGAGGGAAGGGGAAGTGAGGGGAGGGGAGGGGAGGGGAAAGGAGGGAAAGAGAAGGAAGGGGAAGGGTAGGAAAGGGAAGGGAAGGAGGCATAGGTAACTAGAAATGACTGGGATGACATGGGGAAGAATCTGGTTGCCATTGCTGCTTCTTCTTCTTTTTCCTATTTTTTCTTTTGGGGATTATACATAATTACAATATCTCTCCCTTTCCTTTCCTCCCTCCAAACTGAGGATACCCTGGGCAGGGGGCATATCTTCTGGGTAGCTACTGTGTTCTCCAGGCAAATGATTGAGACCAGTTTAGGAAAGGGGTAGGGGGAGAGAGAGACAAGAAAGGGGAAGAAATGGGGGAGGAGGATGTGAGGCTGGGTTGGAGAAATGAAAGAAAGCAAACCCTGTTGGTGACACTTGGCACAGTCTTCCTGAGCGCAGCACGCCCTCCTTGTGCAAGAACACAGAGCCCCAGGTGCAGGAGGCAGAGGCCTGCAGCAAGACTTGCAGAGAGACACAGCAAGCCATGGTGAGCATCTTAGCCTATAAGATATCTTTAGATAATCAAATTTTTCCTTGGGGTTGAAAAGGCAGGTGACAAGGGGCAAAAAGCTATCATTTCTGCTTTTAAGAAATATAGAAACAAACAAACAACAACAACAACAAAAACCCTATGCATGTTTTCTCAAGAAAACGACTCTAGACTGTTTCTTGTAATTTTTCCCTTTGTGTTTGCTCTGATGGAATGCTGGAATGGGCACAGTTGAGATTAGACCTTTGCAGTAATACAAAGTGGCTCCCCGAGGAGTGACATACATCCAAAACTACAATTTTAAGACATGCAGAAAACCTATGGCTTAGTAGTTTGAGTTATTCAAAATGTATTGCTTCTTACTTGAAAAAAAACAGTGCTTGTCTTTCCTGGCATCTGGCTATATCATTAATTCAAGTATTTGAGGTATGACTTTATCATGACCCAGTGTAAAAAGCAAATGTGAGTGTCACTAGTTCATGAGACCCCCAAGGACATTAAAAACATGCACGAAAAATAAGATCTGGCTTGATTTAAGTCTCAGTCCAAAAGTAGATACAAAGAATACCTACAATAATCAATAATGATCAATAATGATCAACAACTTGGGGCTGAAACCTGGAAGGAGAATGAAACAAAGCAGAGCACAGTGTGGAATGGATTTGATGCCATCATTTTCCGCCGTGACCCCCAAGAGTTTGCCTTGGATAAGGTAGACCATGGGCTGCTGGGCTTTATCTGTGATTTGAAGAAACCGCAGGGCACTGCCTCAGTGTGATATAAGTTTATAGTTCAGAGTTTAAATATTTTGTACTACATTTGCAGGTGTTTCCATGGAAATGGAGTACTCAGCGGGGCTCATGGAGCATCCTCAAGCTGTGGGTCTGGACCCTGCTCTGCTGTGGTATGTCAGTTGACTTTTGCCTTTATAGCCAGTGATTGTTCTTTTCTTAAATATTCATTGAAACTTTACAGCTGCAGGGAACACAATTAGGCAGATGGCTATTAATTCTTTTAGGGACTCTCATTCTTCCTCTCACCCTCAGCACCTCTCTGAGTCCCCCTAATACCAGTTTAGCTTTCCACATTCTCTGGTGACATGCTCAAATCCTGATATCTGCACAACAGTCCTCCGTTAGGAAGGAGTACAGTCGATTGACAAACCTCTAATAAGGCACGTAACACTTATTTTACATTGCACTTTCTATTAATAGTTTGCTGTGCCCAAAATGAACTTCCACAGTTCAGAGCGTGGGCTGCCTGAGGGCTGGGGTTTTGTTTTCATTTTAGGGATATTTGTGTCTTTCCTCTGATGTTACATGTTCTATGTTTAAGCCTTAGAGACTCTGCATCAATAAATCTGAATATTTTAAACCATTGTCTGAGCTAACTTACATTTCCTTCTTCTCTCACCTGTATTTTCAAGCTCAGAACAAGTGAATGCGTCTTTGTGTTTTAAATTTTTCTTTGCTTTCGAGAGTTTCATGTATGTACAGTAAAATATGATTATAATTATATGTCATTTTCCCTCCAACTACCCCATATCCCCCCTAACACCCCTCCTAACTTCCTGTCTGTTGTCTGTCTGTATTTCTTTCTTTTGTTTTTGATAACCTACTCAATCCAGTTAGCACTGCTCATATGTGCATGGGTGTGGACCATCCACTGGTGCATGGGAAACCTAGCCATGGCCACACCTTCAAAAAGAATGATTCTCCTTCCCCCAGAAACTACTAACTGACAATAGCTCTTCAGTAAGGGGTGGGGCCTGGAGATCCTCTCCCCCACCTACACTTGATCCGTGTGTAGATGTTCTGCAGCAGCTGTGAGTTCAGAGCTGTGCTCGCCATGTCATGCCCAGAAGACAGGGTTCCACAGCACTCCCCCCCTTTTGTGTGTCTCTTCTGTAGTGAGCCTTGGTGGTTGAGGGGTTCATATAAGTGTTCCGTTTAGGACTGAGTCTGCTTTATTCTCAGCATTCAATAGCTATGCATCTCTCCATCGACTGCTATCTACTTCAAAAAGCAATTTCTCTGATCCAGGTTGAGAACAGCTCAGGACTATTGGCTTAAGCATAAGGATTTAGAAGGTATTTTTAAAACGTCTTTATAGTACTCACCTTATAGTACTCAGTGAGCTGATGGCTATAAAATCTTTTATCTTACTGTAAAATCATAGATCATACTGTTCTTAGAATGGCCAGTGTCATCAAGGTCATTGCGTACAATCATGTGTTTTATTTGGTTGCTTCAAACTCCTCATGCCTGAAGCCCCAGTGGTTTACTGGACACCATTAATTAAGCATCTTTGTACGTAGAACATGATGAAATTAATTTTGTATTTTTTGCATCATCTTTATGTATGCTGCTCTGTCTGTACTATGACTTTAGATACACAACAATTGGTCTATGTATTGAGGCTTTCCCGAGCAGCTTCTCCTACAATAAAATACGTTTCATGTTACAATAAAGTATTTAAAATTGTGTCAGTGTTCTTCCTGATCCTATTTTGTTTTACCTAAATGAGAGATTTTATATGTGTACCATGACATATAATAACAGTAATAAATATTGGCCTTTAGGAAGCTATCCTAGGATTAAAAAGTATATGTGGATTTTAAAGCTGTATTAAATTATATTTTAACGAATTCTTAGTGACACACATTTCTAAAGCATGTTGGACAAATTACACTTCAAAGAATTTTGAGGAAATTCTTTCATTAAAATAAATCTACTAAGATGTATTTATGTATAATAATCCTTGAATAAAAAAACGATTCTATACCTTTTTAAAGAGAGAGAGAGAGACAGAGAGACAGAGAGACAGAGAGACAGAGACAGAGAGAGAGACAGAGAGAGAGTCTAGACCCTGATCCAAGGTTGCCAACAGCTAATGCTATGACCCTAAGATGCTTACCTGCTCTCCTGGGCTCTTGGTCCCTCATCACTAAATGATGGGCAGCCTGCACCTGTGCCTGGTTTTAGACCACTCTATGAGTCATCATATTTCTGATCCTAGACCACTCTATGAATCATCATATTTCTGCCGCTGTTTTTCAGATTTCCTGACACACCATGGAACTCACTGTTGGACTTACCATTATTCTAAAAAATCCATGAACTGGGAAAATGCTAGAAGGTTCTGCAAGCAAAACTACACAGATTTAGTTGCCATACAAAACAAGAAAGAAATTGAGTATTTGGAAGAGACGTTACCCAAAAACCCTACTTACTACTGGATAGGAATCAGGAAAATTGGAAAAATGTGGACATGGGTGGGAACTAACAAAACTCTCACTAAAGAAGCGGAGAACTGGGGGGCTGGGGAGCCCAACAACAAGAAGTCCAAGGAGGACTGTGTGGAGATCTATATCAAAAGGGAACGAGACTCTGGCAAATGGAATGATGATGCCTGCCACAAACCAAAGGCAGCTCTCTGCTACACAGGTGGGCAGTGTCCAGGGTCCTGCTCTGATGTGGGACCACCAGAGTTAGAGTAATAAGACTCATTATCCAGAAACTGCTGTTCATTCTAAAATAATCCTAACTAAGCCTTCAGGATAGCACCTCTGGGCAGTCTGCAGTACACAACAACTAAACAAAGTTCTATCCAGGTTGTGAGTTATATGGGGAATAGGAATGGACAGCCTGTGCCTCGGTGACAGACAGGAAGAGGATGCTGAGAGCTGGGTGGTTTTTCAGGGCTTTTCTCCAACACCTCCTAATCATATAGACAATTACTGTGAGCTAATTCATTCTGAAAGTGCACAGATGTCTACAGCCAAATGGCTAGTATATCTTATAAATAAAAATAGTAGCATGTGTTGTGCAAAAATTTTATGAATACTTAAGCAAATCTTTCTTGTTCATTGTAATAGTGCCAAACAAAAGATTTCTTTGTGTGAAGAAGGGACTATGGATGCAATCACATTAAAATGTCTTTGTGTAATCTCCTTAAAGCCTCTTGCCAACCAGGGTCTTGCAATGGCCATGGAGAATGTGTGGAAACTATCAACAATCACACGTGCATCTGTGAAGCAGGGTATTATGGGCCCCAGTGTCAGTATGGTAAGCCTTGTTTGTTCGTTTGCTTGTTTCTTCCTGCTGGTAGTCATTAGACCCATAATAGCTTAGCACAACACCTGATTGGGATAAAATAATACCAGTTGGGACAAATCAATATTAGCAATTCTAAGAAATGGGAAGTTCAGAACAGAGAGCTAAGCTTTCACAATGATATCTTCCTGTAAAGATTTCCCAAGACAACATGAAGTTTCAATTTACTTCACAAGTAGTTTGAAGTACCACAAGGAACAACGTGTTGAGATTTGTCAAAGCTGAGCAGTTTGCAGTAAGAAATCAGGTATTTTGGAACCTTACTGTCAAGGATGTCATAGTTTACTGAGCTTGCAGGATTAAGAACTATGAGGTCAAAGAGAAACAATTCTATTTCTCACTAGGAGAGTGAGGTATCTGGAAGGTACTTCTGCTCTTCTATAGACAGATGTGACAAGGAATAGTAAAAGAAGAACTCACATCTGATACACAGAATATGCCAGTTATTTAATAACAAACCCTACATACTTATTTTGGTTGGGTATTTCTGGAGAATACAGAAGCAAATCATTATAGATTTTGTGCTTATGGAATATATATTTAATAGAAATTATTTATGTTCAGGGATCAAGTTTGAAGGAAAATGCCATGAACAGGAATAAGCCTGTGGCAAGATCCCCTAATAAAATACATGTCCTTTATTTGCAATGAGTGGCCACTCAGTATCTTACTGCCAGCACTGAGGGCAATTGTCCTAGAAACAGCACAAAGGACCACTGCTAGGATAGCCAAGAATGAGAGGGTGGAGTCATCGGAGCCCTAAGAACTCACTCAGAGATGCGATGGGAGAACCAGAAATTTGAGGGTACACATGTGCAAAGAGAGAGAGGCTTGGACTCAGCCAACTGCTATGGAACGGCGCATCAAGTCTTCAGATTGCGACTGGCTGAGTTTCAAAATGTGTTTTGATGCATCTGCTGCACGCAGTGGAAAAATTATAAGAAGACAAGTAATGTCTTTAAAAAGTAAAGGACTGAAACTAAAATTAATTTCAGTATTAACCAACTGGACTAGATCTGACTAATTCACTTATGTCTGAAACTATGACTCTTCCCCAGAACGTTTTACCTCCACCACGTCATTGATCTGCCCTTTAGTTTACTCCCCTTAAACATCGTGTTTCCTTTCTTGATTTCAATGATATTCTTTTGTGACTGTCCTTTTTGTTTGTTTTGTTTTGTTTTGTTTTGTTTGGCCTTTTGTTTTTAAGACAGGGTTTCTCTGTGTGGCCCTGGCTGTCCTAGAACTTCCTTTATAGACCAGGCTGGCACCAAACTCAGAGATTTGCCTGACTCTGGGGTTGAAGGCATATGCCACCACCAGCTGGCTTCTGATGGTCTTGTTGACTATAGTGAGTTCTCGTGGGTTCTTTCATTTGTACTTACCCAAGCCCATAAACTCTGCATCTGTCTTTTCTATTGTTCTGACTTGGCTTGTTTCTTCAAATTTTCTGAATTTTATGGATATATATGTGTGTGATCTTTGGATTAACAAATCTGTTTTTAGCCATGATCTCTGAGTATACTAAGGATGTTGTCTTGGATGTCTACAACTCAAGTGTCCCCGGACAGCTTTCTTTTTTTTCTTTTTTGTAGTTGTAACTATATTCCATGGAAATGACACACAAAATGACTCTGGTGTGAAACTCTGTCACCTACTCCAACACTTGTGTAAGATAACACATTGCTAATTCGATTTTCAGAATTTTATTTATTTTATGGGGCTGAAGAGATAGTTTAGCTTAAGAGCACTAGCCGCTCTTACAGGAGACCTAAGTTCCAGTCCAAGTAACCACATGGTGGCTAACAGACATCTATAACCCCACCGCAGATGATACAATGCCATCCTCTGTCCTCCTGGGGCTCCAGGCACATAAATAGTACACACATATACATGCAGGCAAGATACCCATACAATCCAATAAAATACTTTTTTATTAATTAAAAAATGTTGGCGCTATCACACTTGTATACAGTGCGTGGTGATTGTATTCACCCACTTCCCCCATTCCACATCTGTCAAGCCCCTTCTTCTTTCCTGATAGTTTCCCTTGTTAATTGCATTTTATAACGTGTTGCTTCTCCAGTTTCTCTCCTACTTGCCTACTACCTTTGACCTCATTGCCTTTCCCCTGTTACTACTGTGGTCCCAAGAAGAGCTCCACAAGTTTAAATTAGCTCCCTTCAAAGAAGCTACTCATGCACCAGGCAAGCTGACCAATTAAAAATAATCAGAACACACCAGACACAAACGACCATTCACTCTTCAATTTGTTCCTACCATTTGTCTTGATCAAATTTGAGCTCATTAAGGTCTAAATTGATGCTTGATACATAACAAATGGTCACAGATGAAATGAAATGAATGTTTTTTTTTTCTTTTCTCCTCTCTTTCTAAGCACACCTCATATCCTGCCCTGACTATAGCAATATCAACATTTTGGCATTTTTTTCCTTTCCACACACAGTTTCTGTTCTGTTGGCTTTGCTTATGGCCTTCTCTTTGATTCTGCATGTGGACAACACACCTGATTATCTTCAAAGCATAGTTCAGAGACCATATCTTCCCAGAATGTTTCCTCGGACTCCCAATAGATACAAACAATGATCAAGTAGCAGAAGCAAGGTTCACTTCCATCAGATCCTCATAATTCTTCTCAACCCTGCTTCTCTCTCCATGAAAGTGGTCCAATGTGAGCCTTTGAAGGCTCCTGAGATGGGTACCATGGACTGCATTCACCCCTTGGAAGACTTCAGCTTCCAATCGCAGTGCACTTTCGACTGTTCCGAGGGAAGAATACTACTTGGGATTGCAGAAACACAGTGTGGTGTATCTGGAAACTGGTCATCTGTAGAGCCTATCTGTCAAGGTGAGTGTCTTTAGAGTGGATCTTTGTTGTGGCAAGCTTGTCCTTATAGTCTGAGAAAACATAAGAGAGTCTTGCCTAGAAATCTGTTTCTTCTGTTGCTGTATAATTTAACCTAACTTGGTTTGTAGTTTGATGTTTTTCAGGAGATTTTTTTTCTCACTAAAATGAAATGCAAAACTCCAAACTAAACCAAACCAAACCAAACCAAACCAAACCAAACCAAACCAAAGCAAACCAAACCAAACCAAACCAAACCAAACCAAAAGTCTTTTAAACCATCTGGCATTTTATAATCTGATTTATAGCAATACATTGAAGTTATGCTCTGTATTTTATTTTATTTTCTCATTGTCATCACATAAAGCTTTGATGAACTTTGGTTCCTCTCCTTCAATGACACTCATTTTATGTGGCACCTGACTTAGCACCAACAACTAGTTTCCTTCAGGGGACTTACAGGTCTTTCTTGGTCTTTTCAGTTGGTAGGTTCTTAAAGTCATCTTTTCTTTGTTTTTCTCCAATGTGAGCCCTCAGGAGAATAACAACTGCTGCAGAAAAACAAGGCCCTGTTCTTGATTGTTTTCATTTGAGATAGAGTAGGTTTTTATCCTTCCTTGAGATAGACAGGGTTTGCCACACATAGTTGAAGAAAAAAAACTGGTGGGGTTTGTAATTATGAAGTTCTGGGTAGGCTTTTTTATACTTATATTTCTAGTTCCCTAGCTTAATTCTCTAAATAAAACCAAAATCTATAGTTGAAGTTATAGAACTGAATAGATGTAATGGATGAATTGTATCAGTGTTACGCCTACTTCAGGAAGCGGGGGTGTCTGTCAAAACTGCTCAAGGAGACATCACAACATATGAGAAGACTGAAATCTTTGTAATCACTGAGAATGTCCCATGGCAGAATCTGCCTCTTGAGTCTAAGGCTGTATAGTATGACATTTCCAGCAGTGTTGCATGTTATCATGCTGGGGCAGCCTCTTGGGACAGCTAACCTATGCCACCATGGGCTGTCAATGCCTTGTTGTTTCTATCTCTGACCAATTATTACTCCGTATCAGAAGTCTGAAAGCATTGTGAAAAGTAGCTCCTGCAAGTTAGAGGTTTCTAGATTTGTATGGATGGCTTTAATGATTAAGTCTGGAGGCTCTGGTCAAAAACATGTGGTTGGGGCTGGAGAGAAGGCTCCGTGTTTAAGAGCACTTGCTCCTCTCAAGGACCAGGGATGTTTCAAATCATGTGGCTCATTACCATGTGCCATTCCCATTCCAGATAATCCTGTGCTGCACACTTGTGTGTGCAGGTACTCACCACCACAAAAGTTAAAACCACAATGAAACAAAAAGGTTCAAGATTGGCAGTAAGACTGGAAGGGAGACAGGAAAGGCTAACGGGGGTGGTGCAAACATGACCAAAGTACAATACATACACCATCTCTGGAAATGCCATGATGGAATCCATCATTATGTATGATTAATTGATGGTAATAAGAAGGTGAAAACTGCCTTTGGTCCTGACTGCTATTTTGTGTTACGTCCTCACTGAAGTGATTCAGTGCACACCTCTAGCAGCACCTGATCTGGGCACTATGGAATGCAGTCATCCCCTGGCCAACTTCAGTTTTACTTCTGCTTGTACCTTCACCTGCTCAGAAGAAACTGACTTAATTGGTGAGAGAAAAACTGTCTGCGGATCATCTGGCATCTGGTCTAGTCCTAGTCCAGTATGTCAAAGTGAGTAATTTTGCTTTGAAGGCTTAAAGGTGGAGCTGATGGACTAGCAGAAGGCAGGAAAGAGATAACAAACATTTAAGTCCCATTTCCCTCAATACATGTGGCCTTAGAAAGGAATTTATATGCAGTGTGTACTACAAAATCCTTAGCTATTCTTGGGTTCTCCATTCTTGACAATTATTGTCTTTCTCAACTCTCCTATTACTTTAAAGTTTAAATCCATCGCCATATTTATGTATGACCCATATCTTCTAATCTGCCACGAGTTTATTTATCTGTTAGTCCTTTAAAAATGCTTCCTCTAAGCTCACCAGACTACCTAACTCCCAGAAAATGGACAGTTGTCTAGTATCCCACGATGATGTCTCCTCAATCTGTCTGTGCATGAGAAAGAGCACATCTTCCTCACCTTTGTGTATATACACTGCATCAGAGTACAGGGGAAAAATGCTAAATTAATTGTTCATTTAGTTGGCAGCTACCAATATCTGCCTAATGCATGCCATCTGCACAGAGTCCAGAAGTGATAAACCCTGAGGAAGCTGTCAGAGAAGACCTCTGGGTGTTTGGAGTAGAGTGGGGCAGGGAGCAGGAAGGTGGTAGAGAGGACATTTCAGAAAGGCTGTATGCCAGGCTCATCAAATACATTTCCTTTCCAACCGACTTCGTTTTCATTTCCTCATCTTTAGTAAACCAACAGTTACCAATATGTAAAAGTAGATTCCTTCATCTGGAGGTATCAGAAGATAGATTTTTTTTAAATTAGTATTTTTCAATAAAAGGCTGTAAGCCAAACTGGTTTGTATTTCTGACGGGGTATGTCCTTTTAATTGATTTTGGTGGAAATGAAGGGCAGTGGTCCAACTGCATTGCTTTAGATCACTGCAGATGCTGGGCATAAAATCAAAATGATTTTTGGGTACCTCCTTCAATATAAGTAGTAGTAGCAGCTTCCTTTGAGCTACAAGTTACCCAGCTCAGATCCCTGACTCCATTTTCCTTGCCGTTATATAGTAAGCATTCTAGATCTTCTCTGTGCTCAGATGTCAACCTTTAAACAAGACCAGGAACAAAACACCATGATGGTTATTTCTTGTTCAAGTTTTGAGACACATCCCCAGGAATTCCATCAGTCACGGATCTGAGAACCGTGATTCCATAGGTGGAAGGCTAGAGACCAGTCTAGTTGTATACATAACGTGGACCTCCCACACTACTCCCCTCATCTGTTGTATATGTCATTATTGAGTGATAGCAGAAGACCAAAATGCCAACTATCATGAGCTTGACTAAGAAAATAATGCTGTAACTCATGTTATATGCCTTACTGATTCCTCTTTCAGAGACAAACAGAAGTTTCTCAGAGATCAAGAAAGGCGACTATAACCCCCTCTTCATTCCTGTGGCCGTCATGGTCACCGCGTTCTCGGGGCTGGCATTTATCATTTGGCTGGCAAGGCGGTTAAAAAAAGGTAGGTGTGCTCAATAACATCACAGTAAAACAACTTTCAAGTGGAAAAAGAGAGAGAGAAAGAAACCCCACAGGAAATAAAGTGCAAGAGATTTAACTGAAGCAGGTGCCAAGTGACTTTTGTGCTCTGTAGGCAAAAGTCCCTAGAGAGATTGGGTCTTATACTCACCTTCATTTAAAAGAGCTAGCCAATGTTTCACATGCTAGGCAGACCTTTACGTGACGTCCTGTTATGAGGAACTTGGCTAGATGGGACGCTGTAATGACTCTTTGGTCCTGTTTTTCTGTGAAGGAGTGCACACTGCTGTGGTTTTCCAGGAGCCTGCACAACTTTGATCTTAGCACAGCAATAACATTGGGAAGAGAATCTAGGATTGTCTAAGATTCTCAAACATTTGATCGCCGTAAGAGTCACATAACTATCTGAGTGTTGACATGTGGAAGTTGCATTGCCCTTGAATCCTCATGGATTCTCTCTGGAATCTATTCACTGAGGTCACCACTGTAATCTAGCATAATATATATATATATATATATATATATATATATATATATATGCAGACATTTGTGGAAAAAAGAGGGGGGGAATGAGAGCGTCCTCAAAATCTTATTCTCTGTCTGTCATCCAGGAAGTTTATAAACATTTCATGAGAACAGAACATTCTTTTTTTTTTTTGCCCCTTTCTCCTTTTTGAATATGCCTTTGCCTTCAGGTGAGATCAATATACCAGCCACAGGACTACAGTCTGCTGCAGTTTTAAGGTGTACACTGTCACATTTGTCCATGTTTATCTAACAGATCTATTCAAAACTGTAAAAGTCATATACCCCAGCAGCTTTAAAGATCCCCTGTATTAAGGTAAGGTACTATGAATAGCCTTTCTGACTCCTCTGTGCTACTTCCTGTGGTATAAGCTGATGGTCACTTAGGTTTCCCTTCTACCAGATTCACTAGTGTGCATTCTGTCACTCAGCTCACACACACACTGACAATTGAAAGAAAATCATCTACCAGTCTCTAACAGTCTTCTACCATGATTTGATCTTCTCTCCCAATTTAAAAATAGGAGCTTGTAGATTCACTTTCCACCAATCCATAAGACAACAGAGGATGCACTGCCTGTGTATAAGAACACCACTAATTATAATGTGTCATCACTGAACAGTTCAAACATCTCTTCCGTTGATAGAAATTCCATGGACCTTGGATACTGCCATCACACGACTATACTAAGTATTGCCAACAGCACCAAAACAAAACCAAGATTGACATTTTCATTTACCATTGATTAGTCCTTTCATTGAGACTTCAAAACCTCATGCCAGTCATCTTGCTGCCTTGAGTGGAGCAAGACAGTCATTACACATGTTCCTTGAGTGAGGTGGCTATTAGCTCAGTAACTTCAAGCATTGTAAGTCCTAGTAATGAGGAGGACAATGATCCCCAAATTTCATCCTTTTCATAGGCAGTTGTAGCAGGAATTTAATCAAAGTCACCCATATTTGGTGGGTGCTAGCTGCCTAAGGCTATGTTATGAGCAGGCTAAGAAAAGCAGTAGGTTGTTTTTAAAGTCTTAACTTTGGAGTCAGTCATTTCTGTACACGATCTCAAACAGATAATGAGAAAACGGCATGCCCCTGCTGTGGGAATCAGAGTAGGGCAAACAGGAAACAGATAACGAGTACTTGGGCTAGTGACAGTTATGCCACCAAAGAGAGTGGCAGCTCCCAGAGATCAATAACTCTGGAGGGAAAACTCGGGGTAACTATGCTGTGTTCAATAGTCTTCAGTTGTGAAACACCTACCTACTGATCTCTCAAGCTTGCAAGTGAATGGCTTTGTCCTCCAAACAGTTTAGCCATAAGCTGGCTCTTTACAACATGAATAATGTTCTTTTTTTCTATAGAGACACTGGTCTAGGTCCCAAGATAAACTCATAGGTGTAAAATAGACACATTGATAAGAGTCATAGTGAAAATAATAATTCTATATCTATACAGTATTACGTACATGTTATAGTTTCATTGGGTTCATCAAACTGGAAAAGGGACACATGACAACTCAGAGTATGAAGGCCAATAGGGCAATGAAGCTTTCTTCTCTCAGATGGATGCTATGACCTGGTGCAAAGGCTACCTGTGTCCTAATGGTCTTGGCTTCTGCTTCCCTTTAGCTAACTCTTCTCCTGGGTCAACAAACAAGGACCCTGACCATGGGCTCAGGTAGTAACACTTGGTATTCCTAGGTTTTCTCATTCTCCAAGGCATGACATTTTTAGTCCAAGCTCTAAAATCTCTCTTTAGCAGGAGCTCAAGGCAGAAGTGGCTCTTCCCTCTGAAATACCACCCCTAAAAACCACTTGCGTTCAGGTTATAAGGCTATGCTTTTCCTCAGTTGGAAGAAATTTCTACCTGACCCAACACACAGGCTTAGTCCAGTACACGAACCTGAATGCAATCTCTCTTAGTTCTCTTCTCTTCAAAAGGACATTTCCTCAATAGGACAAGAAACCCCCTCAGTAGAATCTGATTTTTATTTATCTACTGTTACTGCTTTCATTGTTCCTAAAAGGAAATATATATATGTATATGTATATACATATACATATACACACATATATATATAAATGTGTGTGTGTGTGTACATATATGTGTATGTATGTATGTTAGGCAAGAAATCTCAGAAAAAAATATATATACAGACACACATATATTTATTTGTGAATATTAACAAATGAACTCAAACTTGATTTTATCTGATCCATATATTTAGTTCATATCATCTACAAGCTAAATTTTGAAAGAAAAGTTCAAAAGACTAACTTTTAGAACTTTAAAATATCAAAATCGCAATTGAATACTGTCTATTATATGTCAGGCATTAGCCTAAACATTTTAAATGCCTTTTCTTTAATCCAACAATGAATTTAACATCCGTGTGGGACAATTCTAGACTAGGAGCTTACAGCCACTGAAACACACCAAAGCCACCCGTTCTCAAAGGATTCTCCTTTCTCAGAAAGCTTTCTTTCTGTTTCCTTTTCTTCTGTTTCCTACAGACCTCATTTCTTCACACCACTTATTAAGCTATATTTACATTCTTATCTATTCACACAGGATGTGATTCAGTCCACAAATGTACTTTGTAGCATCAACAGACATTACCTGAAGAGTAAGTTAGAGGAGAATCCCGACTGAGTAAGCACAACTAAGTTGGAGCCCAGGTTTATGTTAGGACACAGAAATGTGGGTTCCAGAGTCCTATGTACTTGATGGAAGTGACTTTCACACCTAGTTCTATGAGGCCTGTCAAAAGGGGAAACAGAAGTATTTACGACATATGAATTATATATATATATAACATGATTCCATACAAAGGATGAAAATATGCTGCTCAAATTAGGCTACATGCTTCCCACTGATTACTACTACTAAGACCAAAGTAAAACTCTCAGGACTCACATAAGAGAAGATGAGAGACACTAAAGTTTAGGGAGGGGCTGGTGAGAGGATGAGATGTGTCCGGGAGCCTGGGTCTGACCAGTAGGGAATCCAGACAAGGCTCTGGCTTCATGAGCAGCACAGCAGGTGGAGTGGAGTCCCAAGAAGCAGATGCATCATGTCTGTTATGCTACTGCTTTGAATGTTTACTGGTACCCAAGATCCATTTAGTCACAGATGGGTGCTTACTTATTAAACGCATAATGTACTTCCAAAGACAGTTATGGAGGTGGGCATATCCTTTACTTAAAAAATTCAAATTGTTAACTTTTTGATGATACAATTTTTTTATTCTCTTTTCTATGTTTAGGCAAGAAATCTCAGGAAAGGTAAGTTTTTCAATGAAAAATTTCCACTTCTGTTTGTCTCATCTCTATTTTCCTTAGGGTGCTTCCTGTTATAGATAGTATGGCATCCTGTTATAGATAGTTATTTACCTAGGGGTCTATTTCCTAGACAAATAGCATTTCCAGATAAGGTAGTTGAGTGCTGGCCTCCATTAAAATCTTTGTGATTTTGATGCTAGAGGACTGAAAGAGATGGATGTGCAAATATGCCTATGAAGAAAGGAGATTTTCTATGATGGAAATGTTTCCTGGTAGTCTCTGAATGTTCTTTGAGGGTTAGAAGCATACTGTTATGTTTCTTCTTGTCTTAGCTTACAGGACCAACATCTAACAATTGAGAAACATTCAATTCAGCAAGCGTTTCCAACAACTAACTTATTGTGAAAAGAAACTGTCCAGGTGCAGGCCATCAGTCTTAACACAGAAGGGTGAATGACTTCTACTCTAATAAGTGCTGGCCTTCAGAAATGAGAAAGGGCAGTGGAGCATGGAACCTACCTACCACTTCCCTAAAGAAGTATTTGCCCCAGTTGGTTCTCAACTTTGTGATTCTTCCAAAAGAGTAATGATGTACATTGTTGAGATAAGACGAAGAAACATGGAAGTGCCTGGCCTATCTGGCAGAAATGAAGAGAGGGAGGACGAAAAGTGGTGGCCAAAGAGACAGATGGAGGTGGATGAAGAAGAGCTGGGGTGACAAGAGTAGGAATCGTCTCAAATGCAGTCAGAGCAACCATCAGGTTTCCATGGGGCACATTAAGGACATCAGTGGGAATGAGAAGGCTATTTAGATAGAGGTCAGCTGCGGTCAGGATGAAGAATCATTTAGGACAATCAGCTGGAGGCAGAACATGTTCTGTTCTCTTGAGAATTTGCCGTTAAGAGAGGGAGACTGATGGGGTTGGGGACATGGGGTCAGTAGAGTCTATTTACTCTGTTTTTTTGTTTGTTTTGTTTTTTTGTTTTTTGTTTTGTTTTGTTTTTACTGTAATTGGAGACCAAGTAAGAAAAGGGTCTCTTTGAGGGCTGGCCTCCCTATCTCTGTAGCAGGAAACCCACAGGATGTAAAGATTTCTTTTGTGTTCCCTCCCTCTGAGTGAAAGTTCTTTTGGCATATTCTACCCAGAACAATGTTCTGGCTGCAGAAACACCTGCTTTGATTGCTACTGCATGGAAGCAGTTCATTTCAATTCAAGAATTGGGTGGTCAGCCAGAAATGCTAGTCAAAAATAGTTAGCATAAAATTGCCTATTAAATTTATTATGGCAATTTACTAAATCGCCAATTTGTTGACTTTTTTGATTAATTGACAATTATACAATCGTTTATTGAACATTTTTGTATTAGAGCAATGCTAAGTTTAACTGAGACACTCAGAGAAATGAGTCTTTGACTCTAACCTCAGGGAAATTCTTATCTAATTGTGGAATTAATATAGAAATATTTAGAAGTGCAGAGCAATAAAAAGCAGAAATGGTAGTGGCTAATGAATTTTATACCCATGAAAAGAAAAATCATTGCAAGAAAGGCAGAATCTGAGAGAGAAATATCGAAAAGTTCAGATTAGGAAAATAACTCAAACAGTGGCAAAAGAAGATATATCTAAAAGCAAATTCAGGGCCAGGAGTAGACGTTCCTAGAGCCCCTGGCTTACTGAGGATCTGGGCAATGGAAGCTGAAAGGAAGGAGGTTGTCCTCATACCATCATGTGTCTTGAGTGCTTGGCTACCAGGTGTTCTAGAACTTAGAAGCTGATTGGCTACCTGGAGACCCCTCTCACTGATTAAGGTGATCCTAATTCATAAAATTGTAGGGTTGAAAGATGGAGGACATCATGTTAAAACTGTCTTTGTAGTCAGGTAAATAATTTTCCCACAGGCCTTGTGACAGTGACAGTTATAGAAATAAATAATAGATAAAAGCAAACTTTTATCAAATACACATTCCATGTTGCTTACTGTTCTTTTTGAGTCTTAAATGGTTAAATGCTGTCTACAAGCCTGTAGAGACATGGAGCATTGCTATCCCTAATGACAGTAAAGAAACAGAAGGGGAAATGACAACAGTTTAAGGGAAGTCACTGGATAAAGGGGGAAAGCTGAGATTTGTAACACCAGCGTCCAGCGACAATATTTCTATAACTCTTATGCTTCTAGACCTCAGGCTCCATGTTAGGGTTTTGACTACCAGAGCCCCTCCTCTTCCAGTAAAATGATTTATTTTCACACTAACTCATGGTGCGATGGCACTGAGGAAGGGTGTGGTAGAAGAAATAGGGTGTGTCTCTAGAACAAGCCAAGGGAGGGGGACAAACACTATCTCACTAAACACTGTATGACTTTTTTTTTCCTTCTAACTTAAGTTGATTCTCACAAGTCTTTGTTCTTGTTCCTATTAGTTTTTGGCTGATGAATGAATGACTCCTTGGGCATTTGTGGTTTTGATTCTTGCTGGTTTGGTTATTTTGACTCTTCTGCAAACTGGTTCTGTTTATCACCTCATTTGGTTTCTGGTTTCTAAATTCTACCTGGGTAAAAGCTACACCCACCAGACACAGGATACGGTGCCAACCTCAGAGGAGAGGGTATGTGCGAGATTCTGCTTTCAGAAACATTTTTATTTCTACACTGGCAAGCAAGTTTGCAGCTGCCACGGTGGTTAACCTGACAGTTCAGAAGGAGACCAGAGCCTCGGAATCCGGTTCTTCTTTTGAAAGGTGTAACGGCACAGAAATATGGTTCTACTCCACCCTTTCCAGGAGTGGCACAGCTGTAACATAGAACACAGTGGTACCTATTTCATGTATCTAAATTTGTTCCCATCTCTCTAAATCATATTCTGCCAGACTCTGGCATCTAGAACTAATGCCACTCTTTTCCTGAGGTTTTGTTTTCTCTGATCTCACATTTTTATCTCCCACTTCCCCTCCTCTCCACTGTAAAATCAGCATGCAGGGACCTCCAAATGTTCGACATGGAAATTAGCAGTATTGCAGAACTATGACCAGATGTGATCCGTGTACCAGCAGTATGAACATCATACCTCTTAAAGAATCAGGACTTCAGGCTGAATCAGCGTTTACATTTAAAATATTTATTTGGGAAGAGGGGCTGGAGAGCTGACTCCGCAGCTGAGGGTGTTACTGCTCTTGCAGAGAACTCCAGCTCAGTTCCTAGCATCTGCACTGAGTGGCTCACAACTGCCTGGAACTCTGGCTCCAGGAAATTTGATGCTCTTGAAGCCTACACAGGCAACTTCAGTCATGCTCACATGTACACACACACAAACACACACACACATGATGAAAATCAAATCTTTAATAGGTTAACTTGGGGGTAGTAGTACAGGACTGTGTAATACATTGCTGTAGTATCTCTTCCACGTTTCTTTTAAAATACTACACATCTTGCCATGATTTCCAACTGGAAATATTTCCACTGTTGCTTGTTCACGTTAGTAGCTCTTTACCTGTGTTGCTAGCACTCAGTGTTTGTGATTTCCTTGTCTCTGTCACCTAGAGAATGTTCACCTGTCTAATAATTTCATTTTTGCCACTTTAAAAAGCTCCTTGGTTTAATCTTATCATCTGTTGCTTCTCTTTCAGGATGGATGATCCATACTGATTCATCTTTTGTGAAAGGAAAGTCATGAGGTACTAAAAAAACAAAATTGGAAGATAACTTCAACTCCTCCTGAGAAGATTTTGCACACAGGCATCTCCCATGTTAGAGATGCAGTGTTTGCTCATGTTTCTGGAAGGATTTCCACAGGACCAACAACTCCTCCTAACTTCTTCTTGCTCATTCATCCCATTAACCCTACCCCATAATTTGTGTCTATACAGATCAGCATTTTGTCATCTTTTCTGTGGAGGAACAAATAAGACTATTAAGCAGAAGAGTTTCCATAGAATATAAAGATATCTACTTTTACTCTTTCCTCACTCTTGTTTCCTATTTCAATTCAGTACCAAAGTTAATGCCAAACATAGTGTAAAATGTGATACATGTGTAATTGAAAATTCAGATTCCTTACACATAGCATGTATCCTATGACAACATTGACAAAACTCTTCGCTTTCCACCTCCAAAGAACAATGCTCTATTCAAGTTGGAACCATCCTACTTTGTCTTGTAGGCCCACTCTCCATGAGTGGCAGCCACTGTAGCCATTCACATTAACCCTCCTCATCTCCTTTTCTTAGGTGGCTAAATTCCACACACCGCACCCGATGATAGCCACCAAACATCAAAGAAGAGAAAATCTCCTACGTTGGGTTTTAGTTTTGAGTTTTCCCTTCTCTTTATTAGATCTCTCTAGGTTCCTTAAAGCCAGTGTTCTGATGATTATTAATAGTTAGTGATAACGCAACCCACTGTCTTGGAGCTGATATTATGAAGACAACTTAAAACAAGCAGAAAGACCCCTGAACTCATGCTGGAATGACACCCTTCCCTTTCCCTTACATCTCCTACTCAGGTACCTAAATTCTGTTTTATAGGAGGACAGCCGGCCACAACCCTTGCCACTTCTTTTATAACTAGCTCCATAACTCACCCAACCCATAGGCTATCTCATTTTCTGGCTTCACTCTGCAAGATCTTTAACATGATGCATTTAAATACAGCCCGAATTTTTAAAATGTTAGTCTGTTTGTATACCAGAATATAACATTATACCATTCTTGAGGGGAAAGACTGTGCCAGGTCTCGAGTTCCTAGTTTGTTAACTGACGCTTGGTAAATTGTCTGGCCACAGTTGGTGAATGAAGCTGTGTGAGGAGATTTCTGAGAGCTTGTGAGAAAACACCAAGAAAACTAGACTAGGGTCTTCTAACCTCTCTTCCTCCATAACAGGGATTTGTTCTTGAAATGGGCTTTTGTGCCCCTCCCTGGTGTAACAGAGTGGGTTTACTTCAGATTATCCATCAGTTACCAATAGTATTTAGATGTTTCCAAGCACAGTTTATCCTCCTGACTGTCTATGGCTTGAACTAATGTGACCTTGCTCTCAGCACTGGACAAGCTGAAACTCATGTGACTTGGCCTAAACTCCTTGCCCTCAAGACTGTATACAGCTGGAACTCATGAATTTTGCTGATACAACTTTGCCTAAACCCCCAGAATACCCTCAGAATATGAAAGTTCTGGTGCCCTGAATAAAGATGGTTATTGCATGAGACTTCAGTCTATCTCACTTTTAGGCTCTGCTCTATCCTTTAGGTTCACACTACCAACTAGAGCGGTGACAATAAATGATTAAAATACAACCAAATAAATTAGAACAAAGTATAGAGCACAATGACCAATATTCAGTTAACTTCAGCGCCTGAATTCCTGTGGGAAGATAGGACACTGTTAGGCGTTCAAGCCAGTTCAAGCCAGAATATTAAATATTAAATACATATTTATTGGGAAGCTGCTCTTGGGTGAGTTCACTGACCCCAATGTTGTCCCAGTCCTACTGCTAGGAACCTTGCCTGGTTATAGAAGATGGCCAGTTTGTTCTCTGTCTCCCTGTTGTTAGGAGACTTCACTAGGGTCACTCTAATAGATTCCAGGGAGCTTTCACTGCACTAGGATTTTATATTGCCCCCCTCCAAAGGTCCCCAATTCCAATCATCTCTCCCAGTACTCTCTTCCACACCCTCCATGTCTCATCCTCCCTGTCCTGTCTCTATCTGTCCCCAGTCAACCTGCAAAATCTATTTCCCTTCCCCAGGGAAGTCCATGCATCTAAAATTTTTTTTCTATGACTGGGAAAAAAAATCAATGAAATGATTCCTAATGATATTCTGCTATACTAATAGATTCTGTCTAGCCAGGTTGTCAAATGAGGAGTTTTATCTACAAACTGATGGGATCAGATGCAGACACTCACAGCCAAACACTAGGTAGAGCAGGGGAACCCCACAGTGGACAGGGAGAAAGGATTGTCGAAGCCAGAGGAGTCGAGGACACCACAAGAACATGGCCCACAGAATCAACTTAGCAGGGCTCATAGGGGTCATAGAAACTGAAGCGACAAACACAGATGCAGTGAGGGTCTGAGCTAGGTCTTCTGCATACAACTTGTCATTGTGTAGCTTGGCCTTCTTCTGGGACTTCCGACAACGGGAGCCAGGGGTGTCTCTGACTCTTTTGCCTGCACCTAGGATCCTTTTCTTCCTACTGGGTTGCCTTTGTTCCTGGGAGGATTCTGTGTGTGTGTGTGTGTGAAGGAAAATTCATGAAGAGTGGATCTGGGGGAGGTGGGGAAAGGAACTAGGCAGGGTGGAGGGGGAACTGCAATCCGGATGTAATGTGTGAGAGAAGAGAAGAATGAAAGTTAAAAGAGAGTGAGAGCGAAAGAGAGAGAGAGAGACAGAGACAGAGACAGGGACAGAGAGAGAGAGAGAGAGAGGAGAGAGAGACAGAGAGAGAGAGAGAGAGAGAGAGACAGAGAGACAGAGAGACAGAGAGACAGAGAGACAGAGAGAGAGAGAGGTTTCTGGGGCATTGGAGGAAGAGGAAACTGTGCATGAGCCAGTGTGCATTAAGGCTCTGAACATTTAACAAAGGGCAACAGAATTCACAGATGAAATTAGATCCTAGATAAGGCTTCAGTCGAAGCCAGGTTTTTAAAGTAGAGACAAAGTTTTGACAGCAGAGCTATCATACAAATATTGCAGGTGTAAAGAAAAGCGAAGATGGAAACACCATCACATAGCTTTAAAGCTCATGAAGCTTGTACCATGGTCTTTGGGAAGCAAGAACAAGAGATGGACAGAACCACAGCAACATTCTGGGAAAAACAAGCAAACAAATTAACAAACATATCTGATGGTTTAAGAGGGAAGAGAAATGGAAGCAGGAGAGGCAAGCCATTAAATGCAGTTATCCTGGCACTGCAGTGATGAGCCAGGAAGGTCCCTGTGGGCATCCTGAAGCCTTTGTTCTCTGACTAATGGGAGGGTGGAGAGTGAAAGGGAATGTACCAAAGCCCTTAGAAAGGAAAAACATAAAACAAAGATTCTGGTTAAATATGGCTTATGCAAATCTTCCCTTATTCAAAGATCTTGTAGGAAAGTCCCTCCTTTGTTATTTTTCCTCTGCATGAATGTATCTCCTTTATTCTTAATACAGGATTGAGTCAAGGATGTAACCCAAATGCCTGTAGACTCACAAAGACAACTGGAGAAGAGGAGGAATGGGAAAGGGCTCCAAGTCTAAAATACTCTTTAAAATGAGGGTGGTAATCAATTCTACCCACTTACAAGAAAACAAGCCAAACTTTTGAAGTTTCATGAATACAGTTTAAATAGAGACACTGATACAGGCTGGTCAGCCTCAGTCAGGGTGCAGGGAAGCCTTCAACAGCTCCTGCTCATTGGGCTATGTTTGCCTATTAAGTTGGATTCATGTAGATTTACAGCACGTAGGTAGCAAGCATGTTGGATGCTGTACAATTGTACTACTTGTTGTGGAGTATGTCATAACCTCCTAGATAGACTGAATCTCCTTAGAAAGCATCTGCCTGCATCAATAGTTGTCATAGTTTTCTATTATAGACATACTTATTAAGCTGCAGAATGGTGCTTCCATCTTAATATTTAAGTAATTAAGGGAAACATAGGAACTCACACATGTTCAAGCTATGCTCTGTGACTTTAAAGTCTCTTCTTCTTCTTCTTCTTCTTCTTCTTCTTCTTCTTCTTCTTCTTCTTCTTCTTCTTCTTCTTCTTCTT